TTTACGCAAAACACATGATTTGTCTTAAAACTGATCCTTTTCATTAATGAACGCTACTTTTAAAGTATTATCGCGTCTTTACAAATATTTCATAAAAGGTGAATAAAAAGCATTCTCTTCAAATAGTAACGTATTCTCTCATTCTCTCTAAATAATAACGTTGATAAAAAAAGAGTACAGCATCTTCGACTCACCGTTGTCCAAATTTTCCGGATCCAAGGAAATTTCCTGTTCCATGACGCCGACGGCATTTTCCATATCGGCGATCGGAAATTGCGGCCAAATTGAGATCTCTTCGTTTTTCAAATTCTTCATTCTCCGAAACTCGCGTTTTTCCTCCTTCCTATTACCTCTCTTCCGATTACTTTTGCGGCTCTCTCTTGACTTGTTCTCCATCTTCACACACTTCGCGATATCAGCTGAACATTAAGAACAATCTCAAACGGTCAAAGATACGAAAGAACGATGTGCATATATGCATATATATAAATATGTGCATGCATATAGATACATACTGCGTAATAAATTACGTATAAATGTATATATGCATAATATATTGTTCACGCGGGAACTAGTAACAATCCTGAATCAATCTACTGCCACGACGAATGGAACTGATTCCGATGAAAAAAGAAGCCGGGTCGTGCCGGTTGTGAATAGCGTGCGCGCTCTGGCCACCTCACCTTAGCCGCCTGGCCGGGGTAGAGGACGTAGGACAAGAGATAAATTCGGGTATACTTATCAGGATTGGTGGACGATTTAGCATGGAAGGGATCAACCGTTGTCTCTCTCTCTCTCTCTCTCTCTCTCTATCTCTTCTACGAAATTTCTTTTTCTCTTCTTCCAATTCCCGGAAGAATGAGCGACGGCCACTGGCTTGACGACTTTCATCTGTCAACGTCTGTCAATCGTGTCGCCGTGTTGGCGGCCAGCGCGGCGCCGCGGGACAACATCAAACAATCGGTATATTGTGTACCACGCGTTGTGTATGTCGACGACGCACACGACGCACGTGTTACAGATTATACTCAAGTACACTACTTATAAGCTTTTCAACAATACAGAGTAGGCAGATTCCCGGATGTAAGTTCGGGAAACTTATACGATGTTAATTATGATTTTTTTACGGTTATTACAAAAATACATACAAAAAAATATTTTATCGAGAATTGAGTGAGTGTCTAATTCATGTCTAATTTAATATTAAAATTCAAGCAGTAATTTGGCATGTAAAATTTTCCCTGCACCCTTTAAAAAGGACTTAAACTTTAAGACTTAAAATCTACTCTCCAAGGATCACTATAAAAGTAGTAACAAATGAAATAAATATAAAAATGTGTTGCTCGATAAAAGCTGAATGTTATAAACACAACTTCCATATGTATGTCGTTTGTTTGAAACAAATATTAATACATAGGTTTTATACTCTGACAATCTCCTTAATTGTAAATTATACTGGAGTATTAAAGTTAAAAATATCTCATTTTTTTATTACTGTAAATAGTTAATAACCTGATGCAATTTTTTTATATGCTATCTGTTTGCATATATACCCTAAAGACATACATTTAAAAAACAATTTTTTTGTTAATCTGATTATATATAATGTTTTATAAATTTATAAAAGTTTATTATCCACACATTTACTTTATGTATTTAATTTAATAGAAATTTATATAATTTTTTATATGTCACATTTTATAATTGTCATTACTTTTTATTGTTTATTTTTTAATTCAGGAAAATTTGTAATGCATAAACTTTTAATTTTGTAGAGAATATGCATTTTAATTTATATACATTCATTGGTTAGAAATCTCTTATGTATTTAATTTAGAAATTCTATCTAATTTTTTATACAGTCACGTTTTATATTTGCCATTATACTGAGACCAATAGAAAATAATGAGACTAATAGAAAATAAAAAGGATAGAATGTAGATGGAACGTACAATTAAAGAATAAGGGAAGATAGGGAACTAAGTACAGGTAAAGAAATGCTATATAGAGAAAAAGGGAAATAAGAAAAGAGATATGGACATTAATAATGCTCTGATATAGAGATTATGTATAGATAAAAGAGAATGTATAATAATAATTTGTAGTTGTAAGATAAAGGAGCGTGTAAGCGTAAATAAGTTAAGTATTCCTGTAAACCAAGTTCCCTTTCTCGACTTGTATATGCTGAAGTGTAAATAAATTCTATTCTATTCTATTTGCCATTACACACTTTTTATTTATTTTTTAATTCAGGAAAATTTGTAAAGCATAAATTTTTAATTTTGAAAAAAGCATTTTATATATTTATAAAATATGCATTTTTTAAATTTATATATATATATTCATTCGTTAGAAATCTCTTATCTCTTTTGTGCCCTATATTTAAATAAAGTTTCTGACAAGTTGAAGTGTATACGTTGCTTATTTTTTTTCCACGGAAATTATTGAGAATCATTAAGAAATTAAATAATCGCGCTTCGTCTTTTCTCGCGAGGTGTAAACTTGTAAAGTGTCCTCGCGAGGAGTGTCGAAGACAGTAACGAGATTTAGCGTGTTGCGAACGGGTTCAAGGTACGACTTACGAGGTGTGCGCGACGAGCCTTTCCGTGACACATATCCGGAGGTTCGCATCGTCCTGCGCCATTGCACCGTGTGATAATAGCATTGTTACTGTGTCGTTCGCATGCAGGCAATCCTTATTACATGACACATGGTGCCGCCAACCTGGGCGTCCAGTGTGCCTTCGCTATATGTATCTTCTCAGTCGTTGCTCGAGCGCGTCGCGACGCGAAGCCTTGGTTTTCTGTGTTACGCCGTGCGACTATTACAGGTGATAAATATACTGGTTTCTATTATTGAACTAGGACGCACAGTGCGATAACGATAGAATGTTCAGAATATAAACATAAACTAACAAACTACTTAAAAAATAATATATTTAATAGTTGTTAGTTATAGTCTCGAAAAAATGAAAAGAAATTCCTTGATATTTAAGTGTATTTGTCATTATATCTGCAGACGTTACAAGAAAATTATTTCTTTTTTGTAAAAAATATTCAAACTTCAGTTTCAATTTCATTTAAATTTTATTTTTCATGCAAAATGTTTTCCTTCTCATAAATTTTAAAAAGTAATATAAATCTGATAATTAATATTCATAATTAATATTTATAATTAAATTATTTCACATATATAGAAGAGATTTGTACAAATTAATTTGTTATTTATTTTTATTTATGCATTTTTGCTTTTGTTATTTATTCATAATTTATTTATTTATTTTTTTTTGTTAAAAATTTTGTCACTTTTTACAATGTTCATTTAGATTCAGAAATAGTACACTGTAGATTTATTTAAAAAGTTTCGTTTATTTCTTTTTTTAAATTGTAAATTCTCATAATAAAATCTTTAAACTGATTTACACGTTATATGCTTTGCCGTAAGAAACGCTTGCCACAACAATTTTTGTTTCTTTTTCGACCAGGAACTTTATTCTTGAAAATATTAATTATTAGAGAAATCTGCAATATATGTAATACACTACATTATTTTCGTACATTTTCATGAATTTATATATTTGCCGAGAATATCGCCTCAGGATATGAATAAATTTTTAGTCTCTATATAGTCAATGTGATATATCCTCTCGACAAAAACCAATTGTTAACGTGGCTAATAGCGTTTCAAAAGAAAATGAGAACGGTTTGTTAATAGCCTGAGAAATCACGTAATGCTTCGCCGAAAAGAGACGACACTTTCGCAAATGGCTGCTTGTTCTCCGTACCTTTACTTATTTGCTTGATAGTGCGCCTTTAGTGATCGCATCATGCCAATCATGTGGAACCGAAAGGTGTTCATCAGAATAATTGAAGTGGTATGTAGATATATCTTTAATTTATCGTTAGTACGAAAAGCTTAATTTCGCGATTGATTTCCATTTGACATTTATTAATTTGGCGTTCACCAATAAATAGAATTTCATTGCATCCAGATTTCTGAAGACTTGTAGAGCCTTCTAGTATATATTGATTCACCAAATTAACTTATTTACTTTTCTATTTCTAATTCTGCTTTTAGAAAGAAAATTAAGTCTAAAATCAGCTAAATTTAATTAAGATTTATCATATGCAATATGCTAAAACATTTGTGTTAATGATTTATTTAACAATTCGTGATAATATGTCAGACTATACGCGATGTTCTTAATGAAAATTGTTACACGAATCAAAATACATTTAATAATGTTTATATTTTTTATTAGAATTTTTCAACGTGCATTCTGAAATATTCTAAGATTTATAAAATTTCTTATTCTTTATGATTTCTGAAAGAGTACTTTAAATTTTTTTTTATTTTAATTTTTTTTTTAATTTTTTTAATTTTTCAAATTTTATAAGATTTCATCAGAAATTATGGGATATGAAATCTCTGAATATTGCAAAATTCATACATACTTGTGTAATTTTATAATAAGATGTAAGACTCTCTCTACACTTCTGAGATATTTTAATTCGTAAAAAAATTTGAGAAATTTTTTCAAAAGTAAAATTATTAATAAAATTATTTAGAAATTCTGAAAAATCCTAAATTTACATAAAAATTCCAAAAAGTTATACGTATGAATAGTTTTAAGAAAAATTTTCATCAGGATTCGAGACAGTTTGAAATTCGCAATTTGTTTGTATGATATTTGCGAATAGTGCTTGTGAATTTGAATTATTGTTTACTATTCGTGCTATGTAATTCGTCAAGGAAGCAGTTTTTTTTCTACAAAATCGAAAAGCCCGAATTGCTATGAATTTCGCATAGTCTAACGAGTTTAGAGATTTAGAACAATGAATCGCGTGAGATATATCTTCTGTATATATTTATGCCAGCTCAAACTTTATAAATAAATATTTTATCGAAATGATATGAATTTTCGAAGCCCTTGATTTTTTAATTATTTACTGTATATTATACTATTACATATTTTATTTTGTTATAATACGAAAAAAATTACACGAAAAAATAACTATAAAAAATAACTATAAAAGTCTCTTTTTTTTGTACAATAATCAAGTAAACAAGATTATTTGTGTAAAAGTTTCATGATGCAGACATTAGTTGTTTGATCCATGAATAAAATTAATTTTTTTTATTTACAGAACCACTAATATATTTCTGTATCATAATGAGACTGCGTGAATCATTGAGATTTTTGCCTTTATTTTTCAAGTTGAAGCATTATAATAAAAAAATCAGCCAAAATACATATATTGTAAATATATTAAACTGTATTAATGTATCATTGAATAAAAATATTGTTATTCATAATTTTTAATAGTTATTACTATACGTAATTCTCCGACATCATATCTGAGAAATTATAAGTATGTGTTGTCGTAGCTTCAACATTAAATATTTCATCAAAACGATATTACTTTGAAACCTTCGAGGGCGATTATATGTATAATTGTCTAACATCACTTATGATGTAAGGTTAAGAAAAAATCGTACACGTTGGATTGCAGCTTCTGTGCGTCGCCTGCGTCGTGGCGCTTAGAGTGACGGACGATGAGAGCCGAAGGGTCTTCCATTACTTGAGGAATCGCAGCAGGGAGTGGTCGCTGTTGAACAATGTGACGTGGGGCAGTATAGGTGCCTAACTTGAATGATTCAGACATCCGGATCCTGGCGCTCTCGCATGCCGAGGATCGCGACTCGCGACACACTCATTTCCCGATTTCCGTGTATTTCAGGCGCTGCCCTCGCAACAGCGACTTGTGGCGGATATATCATCATAACGACGGGTCTTTTGATCGCTGCAGCTACCGGGGAACTCCATGGCCGAAAGACGGTAATTGGTTTCCTTTTTTTTCTCTTTCCTTTTCTCATGCGAGAAATGCGTTGTAACCTCGTTTCGTAATACCGTCAACGGAACCAAAATGATTCTCGATTGTATGGAGAGATTAGGAGAATGATTTTTTCACGAATATAAAAAAAAAACAAAATATTCTCAGCCATTATATTTTCGAAAAGGAAATCAATTTTGGATAAAGTGAAAGTTATCTTTTTTATCTGATAGATGGGGCATTTATATATATATATATATGTCTTCGTCTAAAAAAAAAAGAGAAAGTTGACATAAATTGTCCGAGATAAGAGATTCGATATGTATCATACAGAGTCCTGATCTCACTATGAAGATTAAAAATTGAGCCACTCTTTTTTTCAGATTAGCTCAATTTTCACTCTTTAGAATGAAATTCCACTTAAAAAAATTGAAAGATCTTATACGCATAAAAATATTCCAACGAAATAAATCTTATTATTTAAGTATCTTCAGTCCTCTACTTTATTATATAAATATTTCCTTTTTTTAAACAAATTCTAAGTTAAAAGCATACAAATATGAAGAACTTATCTTTAGGAGAGTTTCATCTTTGTCTAAAAAAAAAAAGAAAAGAAAGTTAACAAGCGCTTCTCATATTTATAAAAATGACAGAACTGAAGTTATTTATGTAATAACGTAAGATTTTTTTCTGTTCTTTATCGGCTTCTACTATCAGTAATATTAGGTAGGTAATATTATGATAAGTTTCGCAAAGTCATCCTGTCAGGAAGAACAAAAATGTTTCGCCGCGAAGATAACCCCTGTAGAATTTCCACGTATAACGCAGAAGAACGACACGATGACGAGAGCAGGACTCGCTTCGACGTCATGCCGGAATCCTTCCCAGGCGCTCTTAATTTATTCCGAGGTTGGTCTGCAATGTGAAAATATACCGCGTAAATCACGGCGATCGCGATGGCGCGCGTGAGAAAATCGGTAGCGCGACGCGAAGGTGTCATTGAGGGGGCCAAGGATAGGAATATTTTCCTTAGACGAGAGTCGAGAGCGGGGCTCGCCCTGCCATGCTGCTGCTCCGCTCCGCGCCGTGCACGTAATCGCAACCTTGGTCAGTCGCGACACGTAACTCGTTTGATGAGTCATAACTGAGGCTGGGTCTAGCCGATCTTGAGTGGACTGCATAATGCGTAGATTTCCTGTATTCTTGCTTGCTTCCAATAAATAAATCTAACGAAAACCGATGGCACGTGCATCGCGTTCTGCAATGAACAGCCCTGAACAGCGTTTGTAATATGCGTCAAACACTGAGTATATCCTTTTTTTGTTGTTTTTTTCTTTTGCCCACAAGGTTGAGTAATAATTTTTATGCATAATCAATCGGCTGCGCTAGGCGTAAATAGATCGCATCGACGTTAAAATCACGCAGGTGTAACGGATTTAACAAGCCCGATTGAATTTCAGGAATTTTTCCTGCTCGGACTGGGTGTGATCCTCTTCGGGATAGTCGGCGCCTTGTCGCTGGCCTCTATCGACAGCGTCCCTGAGGATCTAATTGACAATGCCGCAGTTTTAGGAACGCTCTGCTTGCTCACAGCATTGGTGTTCATCGGAGATCTATTGATGAGCCCTCCTCGTATGAAGAACAAGCAGGATCAAACACGAATCATCGAGAAAGATTTGGGTATGATTATTAGAAAAATTATTAGATTACTTTTTATAAAATTTGACTTTAATATGGTATTTATTATATTATTTCTATTTTATTTTTTTTTGTATTTTATTAAATTCGGATTGAAAGAGAATTAACAAATTCACATTTAAAAGTTTGGTGCAATTGGTCAATTCTTTCTTCATCCGAGGACCGATTTCTAGCACACAAGCCTAGACTTTATACGCATTCATAGATAGCAAGGTTGCGGGCATGTATTAAATATAACGTTATATATGGTTTTTATGTGTATAATATCATATTATATGTATAATCTTATACGTATTATACGCATTATACATACATATTATACATGTAAAAAACTATTCGCAACTTTAAATTGCCCAACTGTAAATAATTTTGCGCGTATTCCGAAAATCGAAATTTGAAATAAAGTGTTACCTCTGAGTCCACCAATGAATGTATATGTATGTATGTATGTATGTATCTATGTTCAGTGCTGTATTAAGTGTGATAGATTTTCTACCTTAATAGTCGTCAACGTTAATGCTTAATATCTCGATTCGCGAGAGACCTCGCCGATCGCCACGTTTTTCTGTCATATTTTTTCGTTTTGAGTGAAAACGCTTCGAAAGAGCTTAATTTCATTAAAATCGGAGGTGAGGTAACTATTCTAAATCATTACCTTTATTTATCTAAAAAAATGATACGTTCCGAAATAGGGAAGCGTCAGGTAACGCCGGTGGTGACCATTGAGGATACAAAGAAGTCAAAATCATCAACCAACATTGTTAAAATACCCGAGGACGAGGACGGTCGTGTGAACGAAGCTTTTCAAAAGGCAGACGATCGTCGCTCTGATCCACGATCGCAGCAGGAATCATCCGATACACGTCCGCAGGACATCCGGGGCGATCGTGGACTTCGCGATGATCAGGAACTAAGAGAGCACGCTCAGAATTTCGAGAATGGCCGTGCTTTACGTGATTCGCAACGGTACCGAGAGATCGAGATGCCACGTGCTATCCTGCACGACCCTGATCGCAGGATCGACGAGTCCAGGATAATGTATAAGAGTCGTGACATCTATCAGCGGCCGGTCGACGAAATCGATACACCGCGGTTCCCGACGGAATACGAAAAAGGAGATCCAATCTTTGCGAGAATCGTCAATCCAAGCGTGAAAATTATGAAGGTCGAACGAGACGTTGAGGAGGAACTCGACAACTACAACAGGTGATTTCTTGCGTCCGGAGACCCATCGTGTCCTTGGTTCGGAAACTTCATTTAAGCGTCGACAATGTCTACGCGTTAGCCATCTTGGATCACGCTGTCAGGACCACGAAAACGATTCTTGCCGCTAATAGAAGTAATTTTTTATAAATAGAGAACGCTTTCAAGGTTACCCTAGTGAAAATTTTTCTTAGAATTCTTTATTTAATTTCTATAATATAATAATTTTATAACTTTTTGGAATTTCGAAATGGAGAATCACATTGTACGGACGTGAGTCGTCAGAATCGTTCGCTTCCTTGTTTCCGACGTTATGATTCAAGATGTATGACGCATAGAGTGTCAGTTCTTAAATAATTTTGTTTGAACGACGAGCAGATATTCGGACAATAGTCAATACGACAACGTACCCATCAGAATGCGCGGCTCATCTGGAATCCTGAGAGGTCATCGCGATGTATCCTTCAACGTACCACCTCCGCCTAAGGATTATCGATCTAGAAGATCCAAGGATGATATTGAGATGCTGGAACAATATTTTGGTGTACTGAAAACTACCGGCACGCAAACTGCAAGGACACCGTATTCACCGACCGATCCAGGATACGTTCGACATACTGCAAGTAACTGGCCGCAAGACATTAAGTCGAGCACACCGAAACCTAGCCCGGAACATTCTAGAATTTAATCCTTTCATGCACACGCGGACACTTTCGATCTTTTTTTTTAATTAAAAATTGATTAGCCAAGTCTAATAAGAATATTAATTTTTTTCTTTAATTAGTAAAATTAGTCATTAAAATTTTTCAAATGGTTTTTCGTCACTAATCTTAAAAATATCTATGTTCTGCTATAAGATGTAATTTGTGAATTTTATTTTCACAAATAATTTAGTCATGAAAGGATTAAAGCAAATCAAATCATAATAATAATCATTGACAGCTCAGCGAGACGAGAATGGATTGAAATGAATTAAAATGGATTCAGATTTTCAAAAATATTGATTCGAATGTTACGAATGTTAAAATGAATGTTTTTCAATCCTGAATGCATTTTTATTCATAGGAATTGCATGGAGCATATCTCTATGCTTTTCAATCTAAAAATAATATTAGCTTTTTCTGTACACAACACACACATTGTGAATACTGTTCAATTCAAAATTTTCAATCCAATTGCATCCAAATTGAACCTTATTGAATCCAATTGAATCCAATTAAATCCAAAAAAAGTATTCACTATTTAAAATACGCATTCGGATAGAAAAAAATTTCAATCCATTTTAATCCAATCTCATTTGCTGGGAGGGTCTTTACTGAAATCTTAAATGTTAAAAAATTCCCTGATAATTCCTGTTTTCAGGTATTTTTATTGGATTGTCCGGAAAGTTCGTGCCGCAAAAGATATAAATTTAATAAATGAAATTAAAAATTTAAATCTTCTGCGTTTCAATTTTCTTTCAAAATCGGCACGAACTTTCCGGACAACCCAATATTTAACATTCTAGGAAAAATTAGAGAATTTTTTAATGTAACTTTGAAATAAATTCGTGCAAATAACACAAACTACATAATGTAGATTAGTAAAAGACAAGGATTTTCCATGAGATTGTGTATGTATCCGTTTTCTACAATTAAAAATGCAAAATCTATGAGATAAGCATAGGGAAGACTCACTGCAGTGAGCTACTTTTTTCTGCTATATTTTTTTTATTGTTGTCCTGATTTTTTAAAATAAAAACACGAGTACGTAATATACGTACGTAATATATGCCATATTTATTGCTAACCGATTGTCAGCATTTAATATCACTAAGAAAAATGAAAGAAATAATGTTTTCAAAAAGAGACAGAATTTAAATTTAAAAGTGAATATCCAAGAATTTCTCCGACTAAAATTTTATGAAAATCTGCTTTTCAAATGAAAGGAAAATTTCCTGAAAAAGTTTTCTCAAATAATACACCTTGTGCTTGATATTATATATATATATA